TGATGATCCTACCCAGCCTGATGATCCTATCCAGCTTGATGATCCGGTGCCCGCTGTCGAGCTTGGTGACCCAGTGCCCGCGGTTCTGCTAGATGGCTCGGTGCCTGCTGACTTGCCCGGTGACTCGGAGCCCGCTGTTGAGCTTGGTGACTCAGTGCCCGCTGTCGTGCCAGATGACTCGGTGCCCGCTGTCGTGCCCGATGACTCGGTGCCCGCTGACTTGCCCAGATGACTCGGTGCCCGCAGTTCTGCTAGATGGCTCGGTGCCCGCTGTTGAGCTTGGTGACTCGGTGCCTGCTGTTTAGCTTGGTGACTTGGTGCCCGCTATCGTGCCAAATGACCCGGTGCCCGCTGTCGTGCCTGATGACTCGGTGCCCGCTGACTTGCCCGGTGACTCAGTGCCCGCTGTCGAGCTTGGTTACTCGGTGCCCGCTGTCGTGCCAGATGACTCGGTGCCTGCTGTCGAGCTTGGTGACCCGGTGCCCGCAGTTCTGCTAGATGGCTCGGTGCCCGATGACTCGGTGCCCGGTGACTTGCCCGGTGACTCAGTGCCCGCTGTCGAGCTTGGTTACTCGGTGCCCACTGTCGTGCCAGATGACTCGGTGCCCGCTGTCGTGCCAGATGACTCGGTGCCCACTGTCGAGCTTGGTGTCCCAGTGCCCGCTGTTGTGCCAGATGGCTCAGTGCCCGCTGTTCTGCCAGATGGCTCGGTGCCCGCTGTTGTGCCAGATGGCTCAGTGCCCGCTGTTGTGCCAGATGGCTCAGTGCCCACTGTCGTGCCAGATGACTCGGTGCCCGCTGTCGTGCCACTTCCCGCTGCCCAGCCTGACATGCCTCTGCCCGCTGCCCACCCTGACATGCCTCTGCCTGCTGCCCAGCCTGATGTGCCTCTGTCCGCTGTGCAGCCCGACGTGTCTCTGCCCGCTGCGCAGCCTGATGTGCCAGCCCCTGATGTCCAGCTAAACTGGCCAATAACTGATTCCGTGCCTGCTCCTGGAGATCCAGTGTCCAGTGACCTGCCTTCCTGGGTTCCCCATCATAAAGAGAAGTCTACCAGCAGGAAATCCAGCCAGCCGGTTGACTCCAGCAGTAAGATATCCAGCCAATTACCTGACCCGGGCGGTGGAACATTTTGCCCACTAAGGACTGTTTGGAGCGTCCTGAGGCCGCTCCTTGAGGGGGGGGGGGTATTGTCAGGAATGGACTCACCACTGGTGGTGGGACTCACCTGCCGTGTGGGCTGCAGTACCAGGGCTGACCAGCGGGTGCTCTCAGCAGCCAGAAGCTCACTCCTGCAGTCAGCCATCACCTGAGGCTGATTGCAGGAGGTGTATTTAAGGAATGGCCAGACCTGCAGTCAGTGCCTTGGTGTATGTTTCCCATAAGCCCCTGTACCTGGTATCCTGTGTTCCTGCCTATCTGCCTAGTTGCTGACCCTGCTTTGATCCTGACCTCTGCTGACCATCTCCTGTTGAACCTCTGGCTTGCCTGACCATCCTTCTGCCTGATCCTCTGTACCACGCTGCCCGTGAGTTACTGAACCCGGCTTGTGACCCTGACTATTCTCTGCCTGCTCCTCCGGTACCTCACTACCCGCACGTTGCTGACCTGGCCTGCCTGACTACGCCTGACGCTACCCAGATGATCCATCCCGCACGGATCCAGTCGCTACTGTCCAAACCTGCCAGCCCCTTCACATCAGGCTTTCCCCCGGTACATACCCTCGGTGGACCCCTCTACCACAGTTGGGTGCACTCAGGGGCCGCGACCTGGTCTCAGTCCTGCGCCAAATCCATGCCCACCATCAGGGGCTCTGGTGAAAAGGCAGACTGGGGCTTACACTCCGTGCCCTGGGGAATCCTGTTCTGTGGGTACTAGAGATCCTGCCGGGCGGTGCCTGACAGTACCTTACAGCCCGCCTGACCATTCCACCTCTCCAGCCCTGACTACGCCTGAGTTCCAGAAGCCTGCTACTTCCCTGTGTCAGTCCACACACCTCTGGTCACACCCGGATCCCTGACAGGGAGCCTGTAAATATCTGAGAAGCTGAAAGCTGCTGGATGGTTCACCGAGCGGTACTGAGTGGCAGCATGTGCCCCAGGACTGATGGCCAGAATGTAGACTTCCAGGCATTCATCCCTGAGTATATACAACAGGAAAATAGGAAGACGTCCTATGAATCCTCTTCAGAACACTAAGTTCTTCTGTTCATATTTTTAGAGAGGATATGGACAGGACCCACATCCACCATACATGTCCCAACTATACGTATATAGGAGATATTTATATATATTGCCCGGAGTATTGGGCCGCCTGCCTTTCCACGCATATGACCTGTAATAACCTCCCAGTCTTAGCCCATAGGGTTCAATATTGAGTTGGCCCCGCCCTTCCCACACACATGACCTTTAATGGCCCCCCAGTCTTAGCCCATAGGGTTCAATATTGAGTTGGCCCCGCCCTTTCCACACACATGACCTTTAATGGCCCCCAGTCTTAGTCCGTAGGATTCAATATTGAGTTGGCTCCGCCCTTTGCAGCTATAACAGCTTCAACTCTTCTGGGAAGGCCGTCCACAAGGTTTAGGAGGGTGTCTATGGGAAGGTTGGACCATTCTTCCAGAAGCACATTTGTCAGGTCAGGCACTGATGTCGGGGGAGGAGGCCTGGCTCGCAGTCTCCGCTCTAATTCATCCCAAAGGTGTTCTATGGGGTTGAGGTCAGGACTCTGTGCAGGACAGTTAAGTTCCTCCACCCCAAACCAGCTCCTCCATGTCTTCACTGGAACTAGGGGGCCAAGGCCAACCCCTGAAAAACAACCCCCACCATAATCCCCCCTCCACCAAACTTTACACTTGGCACAATGCAGTCAGGCAAGTACCGTTCTCCTGGCAACAGCCAAACCCAGACATGTCCATCAGATTGCCAGACAGAGAAGTGTGATTGGTCCCTCCAGAGAACACGTCTCCCCTGCTCTAGAGTCCAGTGGTGGCGTGCTTTACACCACGGCATCCGATGCTTTGCATTGCACTTGGTGATGGAAGGCTTGGATGCAGCTGCTGCTCGGCCATGGAAACCCATTCCATGGAGCTCTCTACGCACTGTTGTTGGGCTCATCTGAAGGCCACACCAAGTTTGGAGGTCTTTAGCTATTGACTCTGCAGACAGTTGGTGACTTCTGCGCACTGTGCGCTTCAGCATGCACTGACCCCGCCCTGTCATGTGACGTGGCCTACCAATTGGTGGCTGAGTGGCTGTTGTTCCCAGTTGCTTCCACTTTGTTATAATCTCACTAACAGTTGAGCGTGGAATATTTAGTGGCCAGGAAATGTCACGGATGGACTTATTGCCCAGGTGGCCACCTATCACAGGACCACGCTTGGAGTCACTGAGCTCCTGAGAGGGACCCATTCTTTCACCAATGTTTGTAGAAGCAGTCTGCATGCCTAGGGGCTTGATTGTATACACCTGTGTCCATGGAGGGGATTGGAACACCTGAATCACATGATATGGAGGGGATTGGAACACCTGAATCACATGATTGGGAGGGGATTGGAACACCTGAATCACATGATATGGAGGGGATTGGAACACCTGAATCACATGATATGGAGGGGATTGGAACACCTGAATCACATGATTGGGAGGGGATTGTAACACCTGAATCACATGATATGGAGGGGATTGGAGCATCTGAATCACATGATATGGAGGGGATTGGAGCACCTGAATCACATGATTGGGAAGGGATTGGAACACCTGAATCACATGATATGGGGAGAATTGGAAACACCTGAATGACATGATATGGAGGGGATTGAAACACCTGAATCACATGATATGGAGGGGATTGGAGCATCTGAATCACATGATATGAAGAGAATTGGAAAACCTGATTCACATGATATGGAGGGGAGATTGGAACACCTGAATCACATGATATGGAGGGGATTGGAACACCTGAATCACATGATATGGAGGGGATTGGAACACCTGAATCACATGATATGGAGGGGATTGGAACACCTAAATCACATGATATGGAGGGGATTGGAACACATGAATCACATAATTGGAAGGGGATTGTAACATCTGAATCACATGATATGGAGGGGATTGGAACACCTGAATCACATGATTAGGAGGGGATTGGAGCACCTGAATCACATGATATGGAAGGGATTGGAGCACCTGAATCACATGATATGGAGGGGATTGGAGCACCTGAATCACATGATATGGAGGGGATTGGAGCACCTGACTCACATGATATGGAGGGGATTGGAACACCTGAATCACATGATATGAAGAGGATTGGAACACCTGAATCACATGATATGGAGGGGATTGGAACACCTGAATCACATGGTATGAAGGGGATTGGAACACCTGAATCAAACGATATGGAGGGGATTGGAACACCTGAATCACATGATATGGAGGGGATTAGAACACCTGAATCACATGATATGAAGGGGATTGGAACATCTGAATCACACCATATGGAGGGGATTGGAACACCTGAATCACATGATATGGAGGGGATTGGAACACCTGAATCACACGATTAGGAGGGGATTGGAGCACCTGAATCACATGATATGGAAGGGATAGGAGCACCTGAATCACATGATATGGAGGGGATTGGAGCACCTGAATCACATGATATGGAGGGGATTGGAGCACCTGAATCACATGATATGGAGGGGATTGGAGCACCTGAATCACATGATATGAAGAGGATTGGAACACCTGAATCACATATATGGAGGGGATTGGAACACCTGAATCACATGGTATGAAGGGGATTGGAACACCTGAATCAAACGATATGGAGGGGATTGGAACACCTGAATCACATGATATGGAGGGGATTGGAACACCTGAATCACATGATATGAAGGGGATTGGAACATCTGAATCACATATGGGAGGGGATTGGAACACCTGAATCACATGATATGGAGGGGATTGGAACACCTGAATCACATGATTGGAAGGGATTGGAACACACTGAATCACATGATTGGAAGGGATTGGAACACCTGAATCACATGACATGGAGGGGATTGGAACACCTGAATCACATGATATGGAGGGGATTGGAACACCTGAATTACATGATATGGAGGGGATTGGAACACCTGAATCACATGATATGGAGGGGATTGGAACACCTGAATCACATGATATGGAGGGGATTGGAACACCTGAGTCACATGATTGGGAGGGGATTGGAACACCTGAATCACATGATATGGAGGGGATTGGAACACCTGAATCACATGATATGGAGGGGATTGGAACACCTGAATCACATGATATGGAGGGGATTGGAACACCTGAATCACATGATTGGGAGGGGATTGTAACACCTGAATCACATGAAATGGAGGGGATTGGAACATCCTGAATCACATGATATGGAGGGGATTGGAACACCTGAATCACATGATTGGGTAGGGATTAGAACACCTGAATCACATGATATGGAGAGAATTGGAACACCTGAATCACATGATATGGAGGGGATTGAAACACCTGAATCACATGATATGGAGGGGATTGGAGCATCTGAATCACATGATATGAAGAGAATTGGAAAACCTGAATCACATGATATGGAGGAGATTGGAACACCTGAATCGTATGATATGGAGGGGATTGGAACACCTGAATCACATGATATGGAGGGGATTGGAACACCTGAATCACATGATATGGAGGGGATTGGAACACCTAAATCACACAATATGGAGGGGAGGATTGGAACACCTGAATCACATGATTGGGAGGGGATTGGGACACATGAATCACATAATTGGGAGGGGATTGTAACATCTGAATCACATGATATGGAGGGGATTGGAACACTTGAATCACATGATTAGGAGGGGATTGGAGCACCTGAATCACATGATATGGAAGGGATAGGAGCACCTGAATCACATGATATGGAGGGGATTGGAGCACCTGAATCACATGATATGGAGGGGATTGGAACACCTGACTCACATGATATGGAGGGGATTGGAGCACCTGAATCACATGATATGAAGAGGATTGGAACACCTGAATCACATGATATGGAGGGGATTGGAACACCTGAATCACATGGTATGAAGGGGATTGGAACACCTGAATCACACGATATGGAGGGGATTGGAACACCTGAATCACATGATATGGAGGGGATTGGAACACCTGAATCACATGATATGAAGGGGATTGGAACATCTGAATCACACCATATGGAGGGGATTGGAACACCTGAATCACATGATATGGAGGGGATTGGAACACCTGAATCACATGATTGGGAGGGGATTGGAACACCCTGAATCACATGATTGGAAGGGATTGGAACACCTGAATCACGTGATATGGAGGGGATTGGAACACCTGAATTACATGATATGGAGGGGATTGTAACACCTGAATCACATGATATGGAGGGGATTGGAACACCTGAATAACATGATTGGGAGGGGATTGGAGCACCTGAATCACATGATTGGGAGGGGATTGGAACACCTGAATCACATGATTGGGAGGGGATTGGAGCACCTGAATCACATGATTGGAAAGGATTGGAACACCTGAATCACATGATATGGAGGGGATTGGAACACCTGAATCACATGATATGGAGGGGATTGGAACACCTGAATCACATTATTGGAGGGGATTGGAACACCTGAATCACATGATATGGGGGGGATTGGAACACCTGAATCACATTATTGGAGGGGATTGGAACACCTGAATCACATGATATGGAGGGGATTGGAACACCTGAATCACATTATTGGAGGGGATTGGAACACCTGAATCACATGATTGGAAGGGATTGGAACACCTGAATCACATGATAGGGAGGGGATTGGAACACCTGAATCACATGATTGGAAGGGATTGGAACACCTGAATCACATGATATGGAGGGAATTGGAACACCTGAATCACATGATATGGAGGGGATTGGAACACCTGAATCACATGATATGGAGGGGATTGGAACACCTGAATCACATGATATGGATGGGATTGGAACACCTGAATCACATGATTGGGAGGGGATTGGAACACCTGAATCACATGATATGGATGGGATTGGAACACCTGAATCACATGATATGGATGGGATTGGAACACCTGAATCACATGATTGGGAGGGGATTGGAACACCTGAATCACATGATATGGATGGGATTGGAACACCTGAATCACATGATATGGATGGGATTGGAACACCTGAATCACATGATATGGAAGGGGAGGGCAATACTTGGGGCAATATAGTGTATATATCTCCGATGTGTCTTTCATACTCGGAGTTTTACATACTGCAGACAGTGGATCTGGACGGTTCACCTGGACCTTCCACCTGCACCAATACACCGGGACTACACCCCCCCTCCCCCCCCCCCCCCGTGTACATGAGGACTAAGATGGCTATTTGGAGGGTAAAGAATCGAGACAACAGAATTTCTTCTCTTCACTGAAATGTCATAAATATACTGTTCTGCTGCATCGCGGGGGGGGGGGGGGAGAGGTCAGGGTGCCGGTGTTGGAATACCTCGTGCTGGAATCCTGTAGAACAGGTATGACCAGATATGTGGATCTATATACAGGACGCCTGACTCACAAATCAGTGAGATTCTGGGGGGATTTAAAAGAAAACAGAACAAGTGAAAAAACTATGAAGACAAACAATCAATACAAACCCCCAAATACAGCAAAAATACAGAACAAGAGATCTTATATATAATAAACGTAAACCTATATACAGGAAGGAGCCAACCAGTGGAAGGGACAAACACAAGCACACCGACCTGAACTACGTAACTGAGCTATGTACAGACAGCGGGGTATATAGGGCAGCTCAGGATCAGGCTGAGGAACAAGGAGTATCAGGCCAGGAATGGTCCAGGATGAGGAGAAGGTACAAGCAGGCGAGATCAGGGATCAGGGTTACAAGAACACAGCACATAGGCACACAGGCAAAACAGAGAGGCACTGAGGAAACCTATAGAAAGGGCTAAATACCCTCCCAGCAGCCAGAGTCAAGTGTGGACCAATTGCCGAGATCCACTGACCACTGGTAGACACCCACTGATAGATACCAGGACTACACTCAGATCTGGAAGCCTCAGTGCCACCAGCAGGTGATCCAGTTTCTGCAGTTCCCTTGGTCTATGGCGCAGCCTCCAGATGCTCCAACCCGCCTTGGCCATACAAATCGCTATGGGAGAGTCCCATCTGGAATAGGTCTCAACAGAAGATATTCCACCATCAGAGTCTAAAATCATCACAAACTTCCTACCACTAGAGTCTGATAACCAGCAAAATTCCCATCGCGGTCCAGACCCAGGCCGGATTCTGGATTCTCACAGAGTTCTAACACTGGACACTTCAAGTCCCTGTAAGCAGCAGGTCCCCCAGCGCTGGGCCACCATGGGGGCATTAAAGTCTTACATTGGGGTGAATCGATAGCACAGACACCCGGATGCTGAGTGTTGTGTCCTAACTGCTTGCCTGCACATCGACTGTCACTTAGGACGTTCCAGGGCACGGGTGACCCAATCCCGGTCCTGTAATGTCCCTGGATGTGCAGTGATGGCATCTGAGTAATGAAAAGGTACATATGGTCCTCGGCCACTCCCCTGTAGATCACTACTACCAGGGCTGTTATGGCCAATGAGGCTACTGGTTACAGATTGCCTGGACCACCGGGCTCAGATGAGGCAAATACCAGAAGAATATCGGGCCAGATGGGCAACCCCTGCAAGGCACTGGACAGAAATGGAGACTCAGAAGTATCAGAGCCCTCATCTGTCAGGAGGTTAACGTAGTACTGGAGTCAGGCTGGGCAGCAGACAGAGGATCAGCAGAGTCGGGGGCTGGACAGCAGGAAGAGGATCAGCAGAGTCTGGTTGGACAGCAGGAAGAGGATCAGCAGAGTCTGATTGGGCATCAGGAAGAGGATCAGCAAAGTCTGGTTGGACAGCAGGAAGAGGATCAGCAGAGTCTGATTGGGCATCAGGAAGAGGATCAGCAGAGTCTGATTGGGCATCAGGAAGAGGATCAGCAGAGTCTGGTTGGGCATCAGGAAAAGGCTCAGCAGAGTGTGGTTGGGCATCAGGGAGAGGATCAGCAAAGTCTGGCTGGGCATCAGGCAGAGGATCAGCAGAGTCTGGTTGGGCAGCAGGAATTGGATCAGCAGAGTCTGGTTGGGCATCAGGGAGAGGATCAGCAAAGTCTGGTTGGGACAGAGTCTGGCTGAGCATCAGCAGGAAGAGGATCAGCAGAGTCTAATTGGGGCATCAGGAAAAGAATCAGCAGAGTGATGGGCATCAGGGAGGGCATCAGGAAGAGGATCAGCAAAGTCTGGTTGGACAGCAGGAAGAGGATCAGCAGAGTCTGATTGGGCATCAGGAAGAGGATCAGCAGAGTCTGGTTGGACAGCAGGAAGAGGATCAGCAGAGTCTGATTGGGCAGCAGGAAGAGGATCAGCAGAGTGTGGTTGGGCATCAGGGGAGAGGATCAGCAGAGTCTGGTTGGGCATCAGGGAGAGGATCAGCAGAGTCTGGTTGAAGACAGCAGGAAGAGGATCAGCAGAGTCTGATTGGGCATCAGGAAGAGGATCAGCAAAGTCTGGTTGGACAGCAGGAAGAGGATCAGCAGAGTCTGATTGGGCATCAGGAAGAGGATCAGCAGAGTCTGGTTGGGCAGCAGGAAGAGGATCAGCAGAGTCTGGTTGGGCAGCAGGAAGAGGATCAGCAGAGTCTGGTTGGGCATCAGGGAGAGGATCAGCAGAGTCTGGTTGGGCATCAGGGAGAGGATCAGCAGTGTCTGGTTGGACAGCAGGAAGAGGATCAGCAGAGTCTGATTGGGCATCAGGAAGAGAATCAGCAGAGTCTGGTTGGGCATCAGGAAGAGGATCAGCAGAGTCTGGTTGGGCATCAGGAAAAGGATCAGCAGAGTGTGGTTGGGCATCAGGGAGAGGATCAGCAAAGTCTGGCTGGGCATCAGGCAGAGGATCAGCAGAGTCTGGTTGGGCAGCAGGAATTGGATCAGCAGAGTCTGGTTGGGCATCAGGGAGAGGATCAGCAGAGTCTGATTGGGCATCAGGAGAGGATCAGCAGAGTCTGGCTGAGCATCAGGAAGAGGATCAGCAGAGTCTGGTTGGGCATCAGGAAAAGGGTCAGCAGAGTCTGTTTGGGCATCAGGAAAAGGATCAGCAGAGTCTGGTTGGACAGCAGGAAGAGGATCAGCAGAGTCTAATTGGGCATCAGGAAAAGGATCAGCAGAGTGTGGTTGGGCATCAGGAAGAGGATCAGCAAAGTCTGGTTGGACAGCAGGAAGAGGATCAGCAGAGTCTGATTGGGCATCAGGAAGAGGATCAGCAGAGTCTGGTTGGACAGCAGGAAGAGGATCAGCAGAGTCTGATTGGGCATCAGGAAGAGGATCAGCAGAGTCTGGTTGGGCATCAGGAAGAGGATCAGCAGAGTCTGGTTGGGCAGCAGGAAGAGGATCAGCAGAGTGTGGTTGGGCATCAGGGAGAGGATCAGCAGAGTCTGGTTGGGCATCAGGGAGAGGATCAGCAAAGTCTGGCTGGGCATCAGGAAGAGGATCAGCAGAGTCTGGTTGGGCAGCAGGAAGAGGATCAGCAGAGTCTGGTTGGGCAGCAGGAAGAGGATCAGCAGAGTCTGGTTGGGGGAGAGGATTAGCATCAGGGAGAGGATCAGCAGAGTCTGATTGGGCATCAGGAAGAGGATCAGCAGAGTCTGGTTGGGCATCAGGAAGAGGATCAGCAGAGTCTGGTTGGACAGCAGGAAGAGGATCAGCAGAGTCTGGCTGGGCAGCAGGAAGAGGATCAGCAGAGTCTGGTTGGGCATCAGGGAGAGGATCAGCAAAGTCTGGTTGGGCAGCAGGGAGAGGATCAGCAGAGTCTGGTTGGGCATCAGGAAGAGGATCAGCAACGTCTGGTTGGGCATCAGGGAGAGGATCAGCAGAGTCTGGTAGGGCATCAGGGAGAGGGCTGGCATGTGGCCTGGTGATGGTGAGTTCCTTGTGACTGTAAGCCCACCAGGTTCTTGGGCTGCACCAGGCAGTGATGGTCCCTCGCCCTGCACATGGGGTACTATTACTGTGCTGTGCTCATCAATGCGCTGGGACGAGGCAGGGATCGATTTCAGGGAACGTCAACTGTAAGGCAGACCTCCACATTACAGACGGGCCCCATACTGTGCACTCCAAGTGAATCAAATGGATTCCAGCTGACCTTCTAGTCCCGTGTCAATGCACACCTTGGCTGTAAATGTTGGCATTTGGGGGGGACACGCTGAGCCCTTGCCCACTCCACCCATCCAGCATCCTTCTGTCACCTCACTCCCAGTGACACAATGGGGTCCCGCTGTGCACATAGTGTGGACCTCATGGTGGAACTTTCTTCATCTGACTTTCCTGAACCTGGTGGCTAGGCTGAGGGCATCCGTGATCTGCTATTGGAGACAGACCCCTGAGGAGCCCGAAGCAGCAAACGAAGGACACTGCATCCAGCACAGATGCCACGCGTTACCCTTGGCAACCACTTACTTCTCCTCCATACCATGTTAACTCTTGAAGAGACTGATTCCATACCCCAATGGGCCGTACCTGACCCCGAACTTCAGAGGTCCATGTGTGGTGTGCCGATTACTTCCATACACCCCTATAGAATGACTTCAGACCAGGCTGGACAATATTCCATTCACTGGAAAACCTCAGCATAACAGCTAAACTAGGCAACAAGTCTTCCTAACTGCCTGACTGTGGCTGCCCCGGCATACCTGCATATGTAGAGTCCAATAGTGGCCCAGAGTGGTAGTAATCCATGAAGATGCTGTCACAATGAGCCGGTGTCCTCAGAGCGGATTACAAGTCCTAGAAGACCCTTTACATGGTGGTGTGCATGTGGTTCCCCAAGCGGAATTTAGTGGGAGAGACTCTTGGGATCCGATCCCTTCTAATCACCCAGGACAGGTGGGCCAGACCCAGATAAGTCTGCAAAACATTAACCCTTCACCCTGGCTAGGACAGCCATAACTAAATACTTACATTAGGCAACCTACCTATAAGCAGAGTCAGTCTGGGGGGCAGGAAGAGGATCAGCAGAGTCATGCTGGGGAGCAGGAAGAGGATCAGCAGAGTCAGGCTGGGGAGCAGGAAGAGGATCAGCAGAGTCAGGCTGGGGAGCAGGAAGAGGATCAGCAGAGTCAGTCTGGGGAGCAGGAAGAGGATCAACAGAGTCAGACAGGGCAGCAGGAAGAGGATCAGCAGAGTCAGGCTGGGGAGCAGGAAGAGGATCAGCAGAGTCATGCTGGGGAGCAGGAAGAGGATCAGCAGAATCAGACAGGGCAGCAGGAAGAGGATCAGCAGAGTCATGCTGGGGAGCAGGAAGAGGATCAGCAGAGTCATGCTGGGGAGCAGGAAGAGGATCAGCAGAGTCAGACAGGGCAGCAGGAAGAGGATCAGCAGAGTCAGACAGGGCAGCAGGAAGAAGATCAGCAGAGTCATGCTGGGGAGCAGGAAGAGGATCAGCAGAGTCAGACAGGGCAGCAGGAAGAGGATCAGCAGAGTCATGCTGGGGAGCAGGAAGAGGATCAGCAGAGTCAGACAGGGCAGCAGGAAGAGGATCAGCAGAGTCATGCTGGGGAGCAGGAAGAGGATCAGCAGAGTCAGACAGGGCAGCAGGAAGAAGATCAGCAGAGTCATGCTGGGGAGCATGAAGAGGATCAGCAGAGTCATGCTGGGGAGCAGGAAGAGGATCAGCAGAGACATGCTGGGGAGCAGGAAGAGGATCAGCAGAGTCATGCTGGGGAGCAGGAAGAGGATCAGCAGAGTCATGCTGGGGAGCAGGAAGAGGATCAGCAGAGTCATGCTGGGGAGCAGGAAGAGGATCAGCAGAGTCTGGCTGGGGGGCAGGAAGAGGACCAGCAGAGTCATGCTGGGGAGCAGGAAGAGGATCAGCAGAGTCTGGCTGGGGGGCAGGAAGAGGACAAGCAGAGTCATGCTGGGGAGCAGGAAGAGGATCAGCAGAGTCATGCTGGGGAGCAGGAAGAGGATCAGCAGAGTCGAGGACGAGGACAGTGTGAGGACCTCTACACCCCCAGAGCCTAGACAGGAGAAGTCTGCTGGATACAAGTTCTTGGCAGGTCTTCAGGTGACAGTTCATAGCTTGTCCTGAGATCAGATCAGAGTCAGGGGGGATGGTATTTGTTCTCTTAGGGGACTCTGAAGACTTCCAAGTTGCTCACTTTGCTCCAGACTGTCATGGTTCCGGCTGGACCACAGTCCATCATCTGCCATTTTGTAAATTGTCCTCCATTTGTTATCCTGCAATCTGGTTGGTCATCTCATTACCCCTTTCCCTGTATAAGAATTCCCGAATAAATCCTAAAAACCGCACCCAGTTCTTGTGTCTGGAAAATGTGTGTTGCCTGGCTTTGCAGGAATTAAAGGGGCGACCCAAAACCAGCGGCTCCCACGGGGGTAGCCCTACACCATGCTTTGTCTGACATGATGCTTTGTTGTCCCTCTCGTAGAAGGCTTTTGGACAGCGGGTATACAAAATAATCCCCCCTCCCCCCCGTAAAATCATCCCAATTTGTTGCTTTGCAGCCTGAAATGAAGACAGACACGGTTTTTGTTTTATCCAGCTGTATTTACTCAATCTGCAACTTATAACATCCAAATTATAGAACACCAACATGGCAGAAAGAAAAAGCAAGAACAGAATCACTGAGTTGGAAGAAGGATCCCCCCCCCCGGTAACAGTATTTTGAACCCCCTTTGCTGTGATTCCCGTCTTTAGTCTGTCGGGAGATGTCTCCACTAACATCCCACATCCAGACTCACCCAGATATTCACCCGCTCTTCTCCGCAGGACGGCTCAGGGTCGGTGACCTTGGATGGGGATGGTTTTGTGGACTGCAGAGTCTCGATGGGGTTGGAGTCGGGGCTCTCACTAGGCCATGCCAGGACATTCACCACCTCCTCCTCCAACCACTGGGGGGTGCTGTGTGCTCTGGGGTCATTGTCATGTTGGCAGGTGAACCTTCTCCCCATTGACAACTTTCTGGGGTTATCTTAACCAATTGCCATCCGGCCGCTGTATATAAATGGCCAGACGGGGGCAGTGCAGTGGCGGGTTGCCATTCATAAATGGCGCCCGCCATTTTGGATTGTGCGCTCTCCCCGGAAGCACACGGCACCGTGATCTGGTGCCCGTTGTGTCCTTGCACCGATCGTTGTATGAGACCTCTGTGTGAGGTCCCGATCATGTGATCACTGATTGGCCAATCAGAATAGTAGTATAAAAGATGTCACTTCCTGTATCATTGCTTACTCCGTGTGAAATCTGTGAATGATCACAGAGATCACATGGTACAGGGCCCTTCACTACAGCCTTGTACCATGTGACAAGCTGTGACCAATCACAGCTCACACAGTAGGGAGTGAAGGAGAAATGATTCCTCTTACAACCTTTATGGGTATAAAAGCAATCAGTGTAAAAAAAAAAAAATATCTTCATCACCCCCCAGAAGTAGTACAGTGTCGCCATGGTGACCCCACACTGCTGGGGTGACAGGATGTGTAAAAATAATAATAATAATATAAAAAAAAATAAAAATGTTAAAAAGTTTTTTGAAAAATTATAACTTTTGGTTATAAACTAATTTGGGATCTTTTTTTTTTTTCTACTAAAAAGATAACGGAATAAATTTCTGGCCGAGATTTATGAAGAAAGATTATTTATTTGCAAAATTTTTATAAGAAAAACACTTTTTTTCTAAATTTTTGGACTTTTTCATTTATATAGCAAAAAAAATAATCTCAGCAGTGAATAAATACAACCAAAAAAAAGGTTTATCTGTCTCAAAAAAATGGTAAAAAATTCATATGGATACAGTGTTGCATGACCGCGCAATTGTCATTCAAAGTGTGACAGCGCTGAAAGCTGAAAAAATCCGGCCTGGGGGGGGGAGTGTCCGGACTGGAAGGGGGGGGGAGTGTCCGGACTGGAAGGGGGGAGGAAGTGTCCGGACTGGAAGGGGGGAGGGGAAGTGTCCGGACTGGAAGGGGGGAGGGGAAGTGTCCGGACTGGAAGGGGGGGAAAGTGTCCGGACTGGAAGGGGGTGAAAGTGTCCAGACTGGAAGGGGTGGGTGAAAGTGTCCGGACTGGAAGGGGGGGCGGAAAGTGTCCGGACTGGAAGGGGGGAAAGTGTCCGGACTGGAAGGGGGTGAAGTGTCCGGACTGGAAGGGGGCGAAAGTGTCCGGACTGGAAGGGGGGGAAGTGCCGGACTGGAAGGGTGAAAGTGTCCGGACTGGAAGGGGGGAAAGTGTCCGGACTGGAAGGGGGAAAAGTGTCCGGACTGGAAGGGGGGAAAGTGTCCGGACTGGAAGGGGGGGAAGTGTCTGGACTGGAAGGGGGGGAAGTGTCCGGACCGGAAGGGGGGGGAAAGTGTCCAGACTGGAAGGGGGGGGAAAGTGTCCAGACTGGAAGGGGGGGAAGTGTCTGGACTGGAAGGGGGGAAGTGTCCGGACCGGAAGGGGGGGGGAAAGTGTCCAGACTGGAAGGGGGGGGGTGAAAGTGTCCGGACTGGAAGGGGGGGAAGTGTCTGGACTGAAGGGGGGGGGGGGGAAGTGTCCGGACTGGAAGGGGGGGGGGGAGTGTCCGGACTGAAAGGGGGGAGGAAGTGTCCCGGACTGGAAGGGGGTGAAAGTGTCCGGACTGGAAGGGGTGAAAGTGTCCGGACTGGAAGGGGGTGAAAGTGTCCGGACTGGAAGGGGGGGGAAGTGTCCGGACTGGAAGGGGGTGAAAGTGTCCAGACTGGAAGGGGGGGGGGGGGATGTTTCCACTGGGAAGTGTCCGGACTGGAAGGGGGGGGAAGTGTCCGGACTGGAAGGGGGGAAAGTGTCCGGACTGGAAGGGGGGGGAAAGTGTCCGGACTGGAAGGGTGAAAGTGTCCGGACTGGAAGGGGGGGAAAGTGTCCGGACTGGAAGGGGGGGGGAAAGTGTCCGGACTGGAAGGGGGTGAAAGTGTGTCCTGGACTGGAAGGGGGTGAAGTGTCCGGACTGGAAGGGGGGAAAGTGTCCGGACTGGAAGGGGGGGAAAAAGTGTCCGGACTGGAAGGGGGTGAAAGTGTCCGGACTGGAAGGGGGGGGGGGTAAGTGTCCGGACTGGAAGGGGGGAAAGTGTCCGGACTGGAAGGGTGAAAGTGTCCGGACTGGAAGGGGGGAAAGTGTCCGGACTGGAAGGGGGGAAAGTGTCCGGACTGGAAGGGGGGGAAAGTGTCCAGACTGGAAGGGGGGGAAAGTGTCCGGACTGGAAGGGGGGGAAAGTGTCCGGACAGGAAGGGGGGGAAAGTGTCCGGACAGGAAGGGGGGGAAAGTGTCCGGACTGGAAGGGGGGGGGAAAGTGTCCGGACTGGAAGGGGGGGAAAGTGTCCGGACTGGGAAGGGGGGTGAAAGTGTCCGGACTGGAAGGGGGGGGGAAAGTGTCCGGACTGGAAGGGGGGTGAAAGTGTCCGGACTGGAAGGGGGGGAAAGTGTCCGGACTGGAAGGGGGGGAAAGTGTCCGGACTGGAAGGGGGGGAAAGTGTCCGGACTGGAAGGGGGGAAAGTGTGTCCGACTGGAAGGGGGGGGAAAGTGTCCGGGACTGGAAGGGGGGAAAGTGTCGGGACTGGAAGGGGGGGAAAGTTGTGTCCGACTGGAAGGGGGGAAAGTGTCCGGACTGGAAGGGGGGGAAAGTGTCCGGACTGGGAAGGGGGGGAAAGTGTCCGGTCTGGAAGGGGGTGAAAGTGTCCGGACTGGAAGGGGGGGAAAGTGTCCGGACTGGAAGGGAGGGAAAGTGTCCGGACTGGAAGGGGGGGAAAGTGTGTCCGGTCTGGAAGGGGGTGAAAGTGTCCGGACTGGAAGGGGGGGAAGTGTCCGGACTGGAAGGGGGGAAAGTGTCCGGACTGGAAGGGGGGAAAGTGTCCGGACAGGAAGGGGGGGAAAAAGTGTCTGGACTGGAAGGGGGTGAAAGTGTCCGGACTGGAAGGGGGGGAAAGTGTCCGGACTGGAAGGGGGGAAAGTGTCCGGACTGGAAGGGGGGAAAGTGTCCGGACTGGAAGGGGGGGAAAGTGTCCGGACTGGAAGGGGGGGAAAGTGTCCGGACTGGAAGTGGATAAAGTGGGGGGGGGGGGTGTAATTGTTTTCTATACCTTGTATTATGTTGTAGATCCTGATCACCCCCCCCAGAGTAGTGCCCTGTTGCTATGGTAAACATTATATTTCTCAAGTCTCTTCATTTTGAAAAAAAAAAAAAAACTGTTAAAAAAGAAAGAGGAAATGGGTTAAAAAAGCTCACAATCTGTGTATTTGCATTCTGTCACCTGATCACCTGATCACCTGATCTCCGCACACCAATCACATGATGGCACCGCGCTGGTCACAGGATGGGAAAAAAAACACAATTGTTGTTATTTCTTCATTTTCCAAAAAATTGTGACAAAAAGATGACAACTTTAATAAAAGCTCTCCATGCCTCTTACTGATCACCTCGGACTGTCTGCTTCCCACAACGGGGGGATTTCGGGGGGGGGGGGGGGGGGCAATTATATACAATATTTCTCCGACACAGATTGGACGTCTTTCACCCCGAAACCCATTCATGGACGGGGATTCCAGCAAGGTGACTTCTTTCCTGTGGGGAAGTGCCGGCCTCTAGTGGTGGATATCTGGAATAGCGCCCTCAGAGGGGGTGACGTATGCAGCACACGTGTGTAAAAGTGGAATAAAATGCACGGAGAGCTGCGCACTGCGCTTGTGTTCACATGTATGAGCTGTTTCAGCGTCGGTGGATTTCATTGGCCAGAATATTGACTCATTGCGGCCGGTTGGTGTGTATTGTGTTCATTAACGATTATTATTGCCCCAGGTTCACATCGATGTGCATTTCAGTGTGATCCCCGGATTGCAGAAACTACAGCGCACTGAACATGATCTGATGACACCATGAACAGGGGATTCAATCATCAGAAGCCATACAGATAGAATCATTTGTCACCAGGATCGCCTCAACCGAATGGTTTGCTGTCTCCCTGGTGCCAGGGTCCGGCATGTGATCAGGGTTAGCATGTGGTCAGGGTCCGGCATGTGATCAGGGTTAGCATGTGGTCAGGGTCCGGCATGTGGTCAGGGTCCGGCATGTGGTCAGGGTTTGTCTTGTGGTCAGGGTCCGGCATGTGGTCAGGGTTCGGCATGTGGTCAGGGTACGGCATGTGGTCAGGGTTCGGCATGTGGTCAGGGTTTGTCTTGTGGTCAGGGTCCGGCATGTGGTCAGGGTCCGGCATGTGGTCAGGGTTTGTCTTGTGGTCAGGGTCCGGCATGTGGTCAGGGTTCGGCATGTGGTCAGGGTCCGGCATGTGGTCAGGGTCCGGCATGTGGTCTGGGTCCGGCATGTGGTCAGGGTCGGGCATGTGGTCAGGGTCCGGCATGTGGTCAGGGTCGGGCATGTGGTCAGGGTTCGGCATGTGGTCAGGGTTTGTCTTGTGGTCAGGGTCCGGCATGTGGTCAGGGTCCGGCATGTGGTCAGGGTTCGGCATGTGGTCAGGGTCCGGCATGTGGTCAGGGTTGTCTTGTGGTCAGGGTCCGGCATGTGGTCAGGGTCCATGGCATGTGGTCAGGGTCCGGCATGTGGTCAGGGTTCGGCATGTGGTCAGGGTTCGGCATGTGGTCAGGGTTTGTCATGTGGTCAGGGTCCGGCATGTGGTCAGGGTCCGGCATGTGGTCAAGGGTTCGGCATGTGGTCAGGGTCCGGCATTTGGTCAGGGTCCGGCATGTGGTCAGGGTTTGTCTTGTGGTCAGGGTCCGGCATGTGGTCAGGGTTCGGCATGTGGTCAGGGTCCGGCATGTGGTCAGGGTCCAGCATGTGGTCAGGGTTCCGGCATGTGGTCAGGGTTCAGCATGTGGTCAGGGTTCGGCATGTGGTCAGGGTTCGGCAGTTGATCAGGGTTTGTCTTGTTGTCAGGGTCCGGCATTTGGTCAGGGTTCCGGCATGTGGTCAAGGTTCGACATGTGGTCAGGGTTTGTCTTGTGGTCAGGGTCTGGCATGTGGTCAGGGTCCGGCATGTGGTCAGGGTCCGGCATGTGGTCAGGGTCCGGCATGTGGTCAAGGTTCGACATGTGGTCAGGGTTTGTCTTGTGGTCAGGGTCTGGCATTTGGTCAGGGTCCGGCATGTGGTCAGGGTCGGCATGTGGTCAGGGTTCGGCATGTGGTCAGGGTCGGCATGTGGTCAGGGTTCGGCATGTGGTCAGGGTTTGTCATGTGGTCAGGGTCCGGCATGTGGGTCAGGGTTCGGCATGTGGTCAGGGTTCTGGCATGTGGTCAGGGTCCGGCATGTGGTCAGGGTCTGGCATGTGGTCAGGGTTCGGCATGTGGTCAGGGTTCGGCATGTGGTCAAGGTTCGGCATGTGGGTCAGGGTCCGGCATGTGGTCAGGGTCCGGCATGTGGTCAGGGTTTGGCATGTGGTCAGGGTTCGGCATGTGGCCGGGGTCGGCATGTGGTCAGGGTCCGGCATGTGGTCAGGGTTCCGGCATGTGGTCAGGGTTCGGCATGTGGTCAGGGTTCGGCATGTGGTCAGGGTTCGGCATGTGGTCAGGGTTCGGCATGTGGTCAGGGTCCGGCATGTGGTCAGGGTTCGGCATGTGGTCCAGGGTTCGGCATGTGGTCAGGGTTCGGCATGTGGTCAGGGTCCGGCCATGTGGTCAGGGTTCGGCATGTGGTCAGGGTTCGGCATGTGGTCAGGGTTCGGCATGTGGTCAGGGTTCGGCATGTGGCCAGGGTTGGCATGTGGTCAGGGTTCGGCATGTGGTCAAGGTTCGGCATGTGGTCAGGGTTCGGGCATGTGGTCAGGGTTCGGCATGTGGTCCAGCCCATCCCAGTCGGCATGTGTGGCCAGGGTTCTGGGCATTTGGTCAGGGTCCGGCATGTGGTCAGGGTTCGGCATGTGGTCAGGGTTCGGCATGTGGTCAAGGTTCGACATGTGGTCAGGGTTTGTCTTGTGGTCAGGGTCTGGCATTTGGTCAGGGTCCGGCATGTGGTCAGGGTCCGGCATGTGGTCAGGGTTCGGCATGTGGTCAGGTTCGGCATGTGGTCAGGGTTCGGCATGTGGTCAGGGTCTGGCATTTGGTCAGGGTTCGGCATGTGGTCAGGGTTCGGCATGTGGCCAGGGTTCGGCATGTGGTCAGGGTTCGGCATGTGGTGGTCAGGGTTTGGCATGTGGCAGGGTCGGCATGTGGTCAGGGTTCGGCATGTGGTCAGGGTTCGGCATGTGGCCAGGGTTCCAGCATCAGGGCCAGGTTTCGGCATGTGGTCAGGGTCTGGCATGTGGTCAGGGTTCGGCATGTGGTCAGGGTTCGGCATGTGGTCAAGGTTCGGCATGTGGCAGGGTTTGGCATGTGGTCAGGGTTCGGCATGTGGTCAGGGTTCGGCATGTGGTCAGGGTTCGGCATGTGGTCAGGGTTCGGCATGTGGTCGGGGTCCGGCATGTGGTCGGGGGCCAGGGTTCGGCATGTGGTCAGGGTCCGGCATGTGGTCAGGGTCCGGCATGTGGTGGTCAGGGTTCG